CTTGATTTAATTCCCAAACAACTACAAGACCTTGACTGCAAGAATAGACACACGGAAGCAAATTTTTAGCAATGGTAAAAAAGGCACAATGTAACTGCATCACAGAGGGCACGATATTATCAACAAATACATATGTAAATGCTAGTTCTTCAGAAAACAGGAAGCAAAAAGTCAAGGACTTCATTTCTTCTAGTTACCAAAAAATATGATAGGAGAATTTAAGAGTTTTAAATAATCTCTGGTCCCTTTCTCTCTGTTTTAATAACTCTTCTTAAAAATTATTTATTTTATTTATTCAGTCATTTATTTTAATTTTTATTTTTTGAAGAGGTTTTTACTGTAAGGCACATGTGCTTGCCAGAGAGAGACAGAGAGACAGAAAGCAAGAAATCATCCCTCAGGGGGAATGGCCATGCTGCAATCCCTTCTCCTCCATTTTCCTCTTGCGATCTTGGGCATGCACGCACACGCGCCCGGCATGAGTTTTATTTAAGCCCCTAGGTCCAGGACTTGAACTGCGGTCGACTACATGAGTCCAGTGTCATAGCCATTACGCTAACTGCTGGTCCCAGTCATTTATTTTAATCTGACCAGAGAGAGACACACAGAGAGAGAGGGAAAGTGAAAAAGCAAGTCACCAGGTAAAGGACTCAAACCATGGTCAGTCACATGGGATTCTCTAGGCCCTTAACCACCATGCCACCTGCAGGCCTTCCCTTTCTCTTTTAAAGCCTTTTAAATGTTTGCCTCAGAGACCAGCAGTTGACATAATGGCTATGTACCTGGACTTCCATGTAGTCGACCGTGGTTTGAGTCCCAGACCTTAAACTCACATCAGGCGCATGTGTGTGTGTGTCCAAGATCCTGAGTGGAGAATGGAGAAGGGATTGCGGAGTGGCCATTACCCCTAGGGGGTGATTTCTCACTTTCTGTCTCTCTGCCTTTCTGGCAAGTGCACGCGCCCTATAGAAAAAAACCTCTCCAAGAAAATGTTTGCCTCAAACTGGCATTCTCACATCATTAGCGTGACCAACTGTCTGTCCTGGTTTGCTGAGCAACTGAGAGGATTCCTGGGATGCAGCAGTTTCAGTACTAAAACTGAGGTAGCCCTCAGCAAAGTGGGATGATTTCATCCTAACGAACCCAGGTATCCATTTAAAACGATTTAGAAAAGATTTGAAACCGTTTCTCACCTGGTAGCTACTGCAATGTAATCATCATCATGCAAACAGCAGGCAGCCTGAGAAATCGCGCCTTCCTAGGTAGAGCACAGAAGGAAAAATATCTGTACAAGCTCAAGGTTTTCACCCCATAAGATCATTTATACTGGAGAAATGTGCAAATATAAAACATCCTCCAAACGGCAGGACAGGGCAGCCCTTCATCTTACCCTGTGTGAAAGGAAAAGCCTGTGCTTCCAGCCGTCTTTCTGAATGAGATTGAGTCCTCCTCCTGAACTGCCCAGAGCCAACCACTTTCGAGAAACGGATATGCTGGTGCACTGAAAACACGTGAAGAGACCAGTGTCAGACAATCACAGCCACTTAGCCGGACGGACACTCCACTAGAAATAAGTCCTGAGAGAGAATTCCCCACGGGTTTCTCTGGCAGTCCACCCCATGCCGAGATGGATACACTGTAATAGCACTTACTAATTATTGAATAGTGACAAATACTGAGGAGAAACCATCTTGTTTGTTTTTAAGGTGTATAAAAAAACTTTTGTCAAAAGGTATGTATACTCACCAGAGAGGAAGAAGGAGAAAGCATCCTCCTATGAGACAGTCCCTTCTCCATTTCTCCCTCTTTTTAGGATTTTGGTCACATACACACGCGCGCACACACACACGCCTGGCATGTTTTTTAAGCCACTGAGTCCAGGATTTAAACTGCATAGTCAGCCGTGCAAGATTCAGCTCCCTTAGCCATCAGGTCATGGGACCAGCCCTGTTTTTAAACTTTTAAGTGAACCTCAAAAAGGCTGGATAGGACCAATTGCATAAATGAATCATTTTTTCATGGCAAAAGCCAATTACTAGATCATTCACATTTTATGTTAATTTCTTGAGGTCATTCCAGTGGTGACTACACTTGTGGAAGACGAAGTAAGTTACTTAGGAATAAAGTCACTGATTTAACCATCCATGGGTCCAGCTGGTGGCACAGTAGTAACACAATGCTCTGTAATGCTGGAACCACATGAGAAGGTCCTGGGTTCACATCCCAAGACCTCCCTGTATATGCCAAGCACATGTGCATGCCAATGAAGCAGGAAGGCTGGGCCCAGGGGTGCAGTGCAACCTGAAGACGCTGTTGGGTGCTTCCTTCCTGTCTCTACTCATGAAATACATTTTTAAAAATCATTTGCTCACTTTAATCATTTCTAGTCTATATAATGATCACAAAACACCTGTAGCTCTTACAGTAGATGGGACTACAGTGGGCACAGACCCAGGGGCACCACTCTGCACGTCTTCCCAAACTCGGTCTGCTGATGTCTCTCTTCAACCACAGAGAAAGCAGTGGCCGTGCTGTGCCCAGTACCCTGTGGTGAAGGTGATTTGCCGGCTGGCTAAGAGACTCTCCCAACTTTCTTCCACCCTGTTGTTTTCCACCACAGAAGCAAAAATCTACATATTTACTTCCCCAGTTTCCCTTGCTGCTAGGGGAAGCCATGCAACTCAGTTCCATCTAGTGAGATGAGGCCTGTCAGGGGCTTTCTGGGCAGCTTTATCTTACCAGATAAAAGGCAGAGCCTGAAAAACAGACAAAACAAAAAATCTCTTCCCTTGGCCCCTTACTGTTTGCTTGAGATAAGACAGTAAGACTGGAACCTGGATACTTAACATCGCAAATGTGACTGAAAGCCAACATACAAGGGACCAGCAGTTAGCATAATGGCTATGTCGCTGGACTCCCATGTAGTCGACCACAGTTCGAGTCCTGGAC